CTCATGAGAAGAGAAGACGCCCTGGAAAAGACCTTAATGTTGGGAAAGTGTGAAGGCAAGAGGAGAAGGAGGCGACAGGACGAGATGGTTGGACAGTGTCATCGAAGCGACCAACATGAATTTGACCAAATTCCGGGAGGCCGTGGAAGACAGGAGGGCCTGGTGTGCTCTGGTCCATGGGGTCACAAAGAGTCGGACACGACTAAACGACTAAACAAACAAGAAATACAGACTCTTAGTCTGTCACTCTATCTGCTACTGTTGTGGGTGGGCAGAGGCAGTGCTCCATTCTCCCTGCCATGTGAAGATGCTGCCTACACCAAAAATGTAGGAAAGTAGGATAGAGACTAGCTCTGGGTACAATAGATTGGTCAGTTACCTGTAACTATGGTTCTTCTAGTGGTCCTCTATGAATACACACAAGTGGGTTTAGACTGCGCTTGCGTTGGATCCCCGGCATATTCTAGAGCTTAACACTAGCTCTGGGTACAATAGATTGGTTACTTACCTGTAACTATGGTTCTTTTAGTGGTCCTCTGTGAATACACACAAGTAGGTTTAGACTGCGCTTGCGTTGGATCCCCGGCATATTCTAGAGCTTAAAAGGAGAAGGGAACCCCTGGTTTCAAGGGACGTGCTTAGAAAAGATGCTCATAATGGCCTTGGATGGATAGATGGATGGATGGATGGATGGATGGATGGATGGATGGATGGATGGATGGATGGATGGATGGATGGATGGATGTGTGGAGGGTGTTAAGAATGATGGTTGCTCCAAGCCACTGATCACACCAAGCTTGCCCTCCGTATACACACAAGGAAGGTGATGTCCCCAGATCCTCTCTTCCCAAGTTGTTCAGGGTTCAAGAAGTCTGAAACAATGGTCTAAAGTGAGGTTTGGGTGCAAGTTCAGTTCTGTTGGGCTGCTCCTTCATGGCATACGAAGGTGGCTTTTCGATCATCATCCATGTCGATCATCCACTTTTAGAATATCAGTCTGCCGCTCTGACCCACACGAGTCGGTTTCGTACAGCCCAGCTTTGTCTAATTTGGCTCATCCAGCGACATGGTCTGGTCCGTGGTGGCCCGTGGTTCTTCTGGCTGGACACAAAAGCTGCCAATTAAAACCTTTCTGATAAAGTCATTTCATGAGTCTAGGAGCCTGGCATGCTTCAAGTTGACACACTGACCACCAACAGTATCTTTATTTTGAAATATGCCCCACCCACCCCCTGGTCCCCCCTGCTTTTGGTGGAAGAGGCACTGAAGCAGAGGAATGGAGGAACCAAGATAAGGAGTTCATGTTTTGAAGCTTCAGCCTCACCCCTGCCTTTTCTGCCACATTATTTCTCTGTCAGCATCACCTAATAATCATTATCATTATGCGCCATCAAACTTTTTCCAGTTTACGGTGACCCTTTTCAGGATTTTTTAAACTTTTTTAAACCACTTTTACTCAGCAGTGGTTCCCCTTTCCCTTCTTCTGAGGAAGCCCTGGGACTGTGCAGCTGGCCCAAGGCCACCCAAGCTGGCTGTTCCTCCAGGAGACCCAATGGAGGGGGGGATCAAACACCTGACCTCTGATATCTTAAATGACTGAGCTATCCAGCTGGCATCATCTAAGGAATTATTTTTGCAATACCCGCCATGGTCAGTCATTTCGTGAGACTGCTCACACACCACGTCCTTGAAAATCCCGAAGTCTTCTTACTCCCACCTCAAATGCCAGGAATCGAACCTGGAGCCCTGGTCACGCACAGCGACTCTTCCAGTCATCAGCTCGTATAGCCCATCTCCATAGAAAGCTGTTGTTTCAGACCACTGACCCAATGTCACGACATTGTTCAGAACAGCACTTCTGATTCTTCTGTGTCCTATAGATCTACTTCATGGCGATTCCCATCATCCTCAGCCACCAGGGTGACGGGCATGCTGGCTGAAGATGAGGGTAGTCATAGTCCACCCCATTCAGCACAGGCCAGGTTGGAGAAGCTTAGACTGTGCTCAGATTTCTCGGAGTGCCCAGGGATCTCAAAACTTTCTCCGCCTACCTGGAGATGCCTGGATTAAAACTGGTCTGTTTTCCTAGTAAAGGAAACACTTTAAAACTCTGAAATGCTATCCTTTGTTTTCAGCAGAAAAGCTCCTTCAGCAAGATCCAGCATACACAAGTCAAATTTTGGAAAACATTACAAGGTGGGCATGCCTCATGGGTTTGGGGCCAGGATTTTACCCCTAGACTCCCTGAAAGAAGTATGGCCCTCTGTTTATTTATTTCCCAGTTTTGAAAAGTTGGGTAGAATAAAAACTGAATAGCGGGCTAAAACCTTGGTGGCACCATGCCTTGAGAAATCACAAAACACCTCCACGTCTCTAGCCAGATGTGAGGAAGGAGTTATGGCTTAATTTATACCTGTGAGATTATTTTTGTGTTTGTAGAACAGGCTGAAAGGCTTGACCACATAGATGAAGTCACAGCATAATTATGGGGCATCATCATCTCTGGAATGCAACTGAAGTTTTCCCCCAGTTTCTTGTACACAGATGCAGCTCAGGGGTCAAACAGATCTGGAACCTCAAGAAGTTACTTTCTGGAAAACAGCTCCCAGGATCCCCCCAAATGCACAGACCCTGTATCATTTCTGCGCTCTAAAACACGTCCACTATTCAAGGGGCCGCTGTTGGATTTTAAAACCCCAAGCAGCTCCGAAGGAACTATTATGGCTCAGTGGGTTGGCAGCAACAGGCTGCAGGGCGGAGGAGCATGCATTTAGATGCTCATTGTGTTTCCTTGGACTGGGTGGATGATGGAGTTATGTGCCCAGGGGCCTGGACAGCACAGTGCCCACTGCATGATAACCCCAGAGCACCACCAGAAAGGAAGGGTTGGACCAGCACTATTATTTTTATTCCTTTAAAAAAAACACCTTCTAGAACACTTATGGGAGGAAAACCGTTAAACCAGAATCAATTAGGCAGCGCACCACAAAACATTAAACAGCTTGGCACCAGGTGATCAGTTACTGTCTTCTCCTACATAGATGCCCCCATTCTTCACAGAGGGCCTTCTTGGTTACCACATCAAGTGTCCTAGTGCTGTGGTTCTCAACCTTGGGCAACCCACATGTTCTTGGACTTCATTTCCCAGAAACCCCAGGCATCACAGCTGGGGCGAAGGCTTCTGGGAACTGCAGTCCATAATCCCCCAGAAACCCCGGGCATCACAGCTGGGGGCAAAGGCCTCTGGGAACTGCAGTCCAAGAACACCTGGGATACTCAAGGCTGGAAACCACTGGTCTAGAGTGATCTCCCAGTTAAGATAATGGTGACCTTCCAACACTCTTGCTATCATTAAGCATTTCCTCAACTACCAGCTGCATTTCACTGAACACCAAAACCTTGCTGGTTGCTTCTGCTTACTAGAGCGAGGTATTTAGTGTGGCCATTGATTTGCTACTTAACTTTATTCACTGCATTTTTGCTGGGTTTTCTTACTGTAAACCATTCAGGTTTATTATCGAAATAGAAGGCAATACAGAAATACACTTCAACGAAGACAAAGGGGCCAAGGTTCTGGCTGACCCTTAGGTGCAGTACTCCAAAAAAAAAAGAGAGATACTTTGCCAAGGTCTTGGTCTGACGCAAGGCGCTTCTTCCCTTGAAATCCGTCAAAACTCTGCAAGAGCCGTAGTCACTTAGCATGGACAGTCCTTAACGAAAGAGCACCGTGGGATGGCAGGAGGCTCCTTATTCTTCTGAAGGGGAAGGAAAAAGTGAAGCAGGAGATTTAAGGTCATGAGTCATGCAGAGATCCTAAAAGCAGGGGCCACTGGGCCTTTGGGGGAATTTCCCTCTTGTATGAATTCACATCAAGCCAGTAAGTAGGTACAAGAGTGAATTATACAAAGGCTTGTTTGTACACCAGGTTGCTATGCATACTATGATGATTTTGAAGGAACCCAGAGTCTATCCATGGGCACATCGACCTTCATATGAAGTGGTGCATATTCTTCTCACTCTTCCTGGTGAAAAAGCTACACCAGATAAACAAAGCAAGCAAGCAAGCTAGAGACTGGTTTATTTTACTTAATTTTATTAGGGTTTTAAAAAGGTATCTATTTCTCCAGAAGGGTTTAAGTCACATTTGAGGATTGCAGGAGTTCAATTTCAGACAAAGGAAGAAAAAAAAAATCAGCTTTGCATTACTTCACTATAGCTCAAGTGTTTTAATATTTAAATTGAATTTTAGTAATATGCAAGCCAAGCTCAGCTTCAATGCAGATGCACTATATGTAAAATCTGCCCCACATTCATGTTAAGTTTGGTTTACATGGGGGAAAAGAGATGAGACAAGTATCACCAGAAGGCATTCAACGGAGTCAGAGAAAAAGAGCTGAACAGCAGAATACTCCCCCTACCCCATCACCAAACACTAAACATGTCTTGTTTTACAACATATAGTTGTGTTCTTCCACAAGTCACAACGGAAGGGTGACCCGCACCTGAGAAATCTGCTACACATCCATTTCTGAGATGAGGCCACCACGCAGTCTGTACGGGTTTTGGCAGAAGGCTGAACTTTTCGACAGCATATACCAGGGTTTTAAAAAGCAGTACAACAACAACAACAAAAAAGGTTTGTTGAAGACTTATACACTATAAGTGCAGCCAGATCCATGCCTGTTTTTTTTCTCTTTACAATAAGAAAAGATGGCACCAAATACATAAAAAATGCTTGACAAAATTTTGTTCAGAGGAGCTAAAACTGAAAGCAAAGCTTCAAAGCATGAATGAACAGAGAAATTATTGTCTTCTGTGGGGGGGGACGACTGAAGGGAGACAGACTCCACACATCACGGGCTTGGTGTCATCTTGTGGATTGAGCTGAAACAACCCACTGCATCTAGGCTTACCTGCTGGGACCCATTCAATTATTCCAAAGCTAATATACCACAGTTTTTAAAAATCCACTTCTCAGGGTTTCCCTCCCAGCCCACAAAGTATACCCGTGAACTAAATCCAGAGGTTGGCGCACACAGTCGTGGCAAACAGTCTTATCTCCATCCATTTCAACCTAACTGCTCTCAAAACACAAGCTTTGAAATTGCTATGCTCAGTTAAGGCAGCCTCTTTCTATCCTTATCCAGTTCCACCTTTTTTTTAAAGAGTATGTTATGTTTCTTTCTTTACACCATGGTCTCAGACACTTCCCCCCCAAAAAAACACACACACAAACACACAAGCATTACGTGCAAGTTCTCAAGAGATGGCAGTTAGTCCTAGCCTGTGAGCAAAGGGACCACAGATGTCACACAGAAGCCCTGGGGTACTTTTTCCACAGTCAAACGGTAGTTCGCGAGGTGGAGCTACACTGGCAATCTGTATGCCCAGAGACTATGAAACGCAAGGCTCAAGGTAAGGCTCATTTTTAAGATTCTCATGAACTGCTACGCTTTCAGCCACTGCACCACGTAGCTGTTTAAAAACTCCCAAAAGCTTTTTTGTTTTATAAGCAGTTATTTCAAAATGCTCTACAAAGCAGGAAATAAAAAAAGAAGCAGCATGCCTTTTGTGATGCATGATCATGGCCTCAACCTTTGAAGGAGTACCCTGTTGTTTCGAACCAAACTCCTCTCCATGGCAGTAATAAGGACATCCATGCCAAGAAGGGCAGAAAACTGAAATGAGGTCCACATCTTTATGCCAGGCAGCCTGGCATAGTCTTGTGTCCCATTCTTCAACAGCTTCCTTGCTACTGTTCTGCGCTCCAGGTCCATTCCGATCTCCTCCTCCTCCTCCCATACCACCCCTAGGCCCCTCCGCAAGGACTTTTGTCCACACCCATCCACGTGCATTTGGCACCTCCCACCCCTGCGATTAAAGGAAACAGGAAAGCCACCGTCGGCAAGAGAAAGCCTGCTTTATCGGCACCTGACGCCACGGTGCATAAAGAATGCCTTGAGCGAGATGCTGATGTTCAATGTCTTAGAGAGCTGGTCAAGCCAAGCAGGGCTCAGAGTCAATTTAGCTGAAGGCTAGGCTGCTCACCACCAGCCTGCGCATCTCAAGAGGAGCTAAGCGGCAGGCCAGGCATCTTTAACCTGTCCACTGGCACTTGGTTAAGACAGGACAGATCTTGAGCACCAGGCATGGATGGGGCTCCCTGCACCACTAATGATGTTCCCCTAGGCAGAGCAGTTTATCTTTTTTTAGATCTGGCCTCCCCTAAATCTCCATGGCTTGTTTAGATGATAGGTGTGTTCCATCCCTGACTCTGGGGGGACAGTTTAGAAAATCTGCCCCTAGGTGACTAGGCCCAAACTAGGGTCAGATTAAACCCAAGGCTCTATGGACTACTTTAGCTTTGTGGCATCTCGCCCCGGGACGCACGTACACCGAAACCTTTCCCAGTGAAGTTCGTTTTACAGGACACTGAAAGCCCCACATCCCGCTCCGATAGTGAGAGAAAGCTACAGATACATTGGCAGGTTCAGGCAAAATTCTCTCAGGCATTTTGGAAATTACAGCCCGCCCAGTGGGAAAACACAACATTCAGTATCTTTTTTAAAAAAAATGGCTCCCACACACCCATTTCCCCTTCACTCCATCTATGTTTTTTTTTCCTTCACAGAAAGTTTACAATACATACCTGTAGTACCTAAACCACGTGTTCCTCTCCTTGTTACAGAACATACTCCCTTTTCTCACAGGCAGTTCGGGCAGAATTCCAGCATTTCCTTACAAGGGAGGACTCAAAATTACACTAGGCAACCAACTGAAAAGACTTCCAATTAAAAATTCCGAAGAAGGAAAGCTACTTCAGAGTTAACCTGCGCAAAGCAAACCCCGTGAACAGCTTTGGAGTACTGATTTAGTGTCCACTGCATAACCATCACAGAATCTTCTCCCCCCCCCTCCAGTTCCCCACAGCCGCCACCAACTGCTTTTAAGACTTACAAGAGGGTACAGGCCAGTACTTAGTATAACTTTGCACGCTTAACTAGGTAAGGTTCATGTGCCCAGTAGAGCTTTCAAAAGAAAAAATATATATATATATATATTTGGAATATATATATATTCCAAAGGAAGCCTGCAGGTCTGACATGCCAGTCATGTTTTTGACACCATTGTCAAAAGTGGCGATACTGATGAAGCAAAATCTTTAAACACAGCAAGAAATAAGGACAAAAAAGCATTTCTATAACCAAATAAATGTCTGATATTTCCTTTTTTCCCTTTAAGAGTACAAGTAAGGTCACTTTTAGCCTTGTAACAGATGCATGTTCTGCCTGCGATGAGCTTGCTAGCTATAACACAACATTGGAAGTCCTCTGCTAAATAATCTAATCTGAAGAAAGCTGTAGTTACGAGAAGAATCTACTGTCAGTATGTAAGCTTTCCTTTATGGCAATTACTGATTTCTTTCTTTTTTTTTTTATGACTCGGGAGGGAGCGCCTCGGTTTCATCTTCCCAGCAGGATGCTGAGGTTCAAGTGGCTTTCAAGCAGCATGGCGGGAAGGGAGGATGGGGGAGCAAGGAAGGGGTCAAAAAGGCTTTGCCATTTAGATCATACGGTTGCGTTTATGGGTGGGAGAGTCCGTAATGCCGTCACCACACTGGGCTGAGGTACGCTTTCTAGTTCCACCATTGTCCAAGTGGAGTGCCATTTCTTCGGATATGAAAGTGTTCAAGTCAACATCATGGAGTCCATTTCTCCTTCGACCACCATTGGAGCCACTGCTCACATGAGTAGGCGAGCCTGGGGTACTTGAGCGGACACTTATACTAGCCATCGCGCCGCTAAGACCTGAAGGAGAAAAAGAAAGTAAACATTAGGAGGGTGGGGGGAAAATACAGAAGAATCATTTATGACCATCATGAGACGGGGGTGGGGGTAGAGAGATGTCTCTTCCCAACCTACATGCATTTAAGAACTGGGCAGAAGCTTTGTGAATGCTAACCAGTTCACATTTAAAGCTGCAGGCTTGCTCCTGCAAGAAACAGATTGAAAATGACAGTTAGGAACTATAACACAAAACACTGTGTTTCAAGTTTATTCCCTTAAGCCAAGGACTTCTGAGCCTCTCAAGAGAGAAAACTCATCCCCATACAAGGCTGGCCACATGGCAACATTTCAGGTTTATGAAAGGCATTACTATTTCCTCTAGGACCTACTACAACGAGTCATCTCTGATCCATAAGCTCAAGGCTCTCTTTTCTTCCTCTCCTCCCATCTGTGCACATCGGTATCCACACCTGAGGCCCTAGCCCTTGAATGAAAATGGTCACGGAACAGGTATGCTTTGCTGGAGGCTAGCCTCTAAGGAATCGCACACACGCACGTTTTGCTTTCCCATTTACACCACCCAAGACTCTAAGGAATCGAGTCCTTTCCCACACACACATGTTTTGCTTTCCCATTTACACCACCCAAGAAACACTGAGAGAAAGTCCACGTTCTTGGTTGCCTTGGCAATCCATGATATTATGCAAGGAATTAGGAATGCAAAATATTTCCATTCTGTGGCATACTGCAGGAGGCCCCTGAGGAAGCTCAGCACCAGAAGGTGGCTGGTGGATGGGCCTATGAGTTTCCTGAACATGTACTGCGGGCTGCATCAGAGGAGTCCCAGCAAAAACCATGGACTGACCATTTGTTATCCACACAACAAACACGGTCTACAACACGCTCACCTACCACGTAAGCAGCCTACTTTTCTGGGGGAATATAGTTGCCAACTCTAAGCTCCACAGCTAGAATCTGATCCAGAACACTGTCTTTTCAACTGTACAACACACCTTCAAAAAGCACGGCAAACTACCAACATAGCGCTTCCATCTGGGCAGCGCGGGTTAATTATCCACACAACAAACACGGTCTACAACACGCTCACCTACCACGTAAGCAGCCTACTTTTCTGGGGGAATATAGTTGCCAACTCTAAGCTCCACAGCTAGAATCTGATCCAGAACACTGTCTTTTCAACTGTACAACACACCTTCAAAAAGCACGGCAAACTACCAACATAGCGCTTCCATCTGGGCAGCGCGGGTTAAGGGAACTGAATGGCCTGGAAAGCTTACCGGAGCTCCACAGCTAGAATCTGATTCAGAACACTGTCTTTTCAACTGTACGACACACCTTCAAAAAGCATGGCAAACTACCAACACAGCGCTTCCATCTGGGCAGCGCGGGTTAAGGGAACTGAAGAGGAACCATACTGCCTTCATTGCTGAACTCTTTACACTGGCTTTCCAGAAGCAAGCCACACTCCTGGAATAAGCTGTTCTTTTAAGGAACGCAGAGATAAGCCTGTACAAACAGCTTGCATAACTTAACGAGCAGCCCCGTTGCCTAGCCCCGGCCTCACTTTCTCTGAAGACCGACGAGGCCAAAACATCAGCAGACAATTCTCTTGGGTCCACGAGGGCAGGAGCCCCAGCCTCCACATTCCAGGGCTTCCTACAGTGTTTTAGGCATCTAACTAGTCAACAGCAGCAGCATGAATAGCCATGAAGACTATTCTAGGAACGGAAGTGTAGAGCAGGCAGGCCCTCTTCAGTTGTTAAGAAGCAGGGAGAAGGATCGTGTGCTTTGGAGCCACAGACTCTGGTTGTTAAATAAACAACCAGAAACAACACAGAAACATGGACAGTGGTTCACCAATACAGAACAACAAGAGAGGATTATTCTTTCCAGACCTCATTCAGATCCAGCCCTTTTATCATTCAATTCTTCCCACATTTCTTCTTACACAGAATGGGCTGAAAAGGCTCAGTGTGGGAAGGTCGTTCTACATACACTCGGAGGTATAACAGCAAATTAAGAGAACACCAATTGATGAGAAACTTCAGTTCTTTCTGGGATTTTAAGACATACACACCCCATTTCAAAGGGCAGCGGCAGGAACTAGGTAGCACTTTTAAAATTTCTCACTTGCTTTTCTTGTCGGTGATATGGTCAGAGAATATAACTGGGTAGGATTCCCCAGGGATCAGGCCACTGGCCATTTTTCCACTCCACCCCTTGCCTCTCACTCTATGGACAAAGAGTCTTGCGAGGGTGAAGCCAAAGAGGAACAAGCAGGGACTCATTTAAGAAGATCTGAAGAAACAGCATTGTGAAACTACATTGAGATGTGAAGAGAAAAGATGCTTTGGGGGGGGGGGAGCAAAATAAGTATTCCCAGCTACGTGCCCGTGGGTGTGGAGCATGCACTATGGAACAGCCTTACCACAGAGATGACGCATGGATGCCAGAACAGAACAGGTGCTAGCGGCACTGTGCGGGTTCAAGCAAACTGAGGCCCACCAAAGACCTGTCAGAGGCACAACTCTATATTCAAAGTGCAAGGAGGATACATCAAGGCTAAGATCTAGTGCCACAGAACAGGTTTTTCAGAGTTCAGCTTTTCTCCTTCACTGTACAATCTCATGTTTTGTACGCACCATCTGCAAGATTCCTTAAGAGAGGATAGTTCACGCACTAAACATCTGAGTCTTAGCCAGCAATTCCCATGGTATTCCAACAGTGAGAGTCACTGGATAATTACACCCAGACCCTGCCCTGCAACAGCAGTGATATGGTCCATGGATGCTGTTGGGTGAGAAGTTAATCTCCACAGCACATAGACACACAGAGAGATTAGCCACTTCCTTGAAAACCTTCAAGATACAACACTGCATTAGCATAGGAACACAGTGGACACAGCCTCAAGGCGTATGTCCTGCAAGAGGCAGAGGTGATGGCCCAGGCTCAGCCATCCCCTTCCGATTCCCTTCCTGAATCACTCACAGTAAGGGTTCTGCCCATACTCAAACTAGACTAACTCCTTATCAGAACCACAAACTACGGCCGCGTATAGCACAGAGTCATCAAACAAACCAGCAAGTGAGGAAACGAATGAGCTGAGAGCAGGTGAGGTGAGGAAGCAGACCGATCTGATCCACAGCCCTGGTGCGATTTAGCAACAACTACTAGTAAGGGATATGACCAAGCAGCTCATACATATAAGAAAAACAGTGGCAGTCAAGAAGCGGCTTCCAGGCTGAACTAAGTGAAGAATTTCACTCAGCCACTGATTAAAAAATAGGTGATCTATTTAAATTTACATATTATTGAAGTCTTGTTCTAGCAGGTGCCTATGGGATATTTAGGAAGAGCTGCTAATTATTCTCTTCCATGCTTCCAAACCCTATAAAGACATATTCTTACCTCTGTGCCACCTATTGCCTTCTCTTCTGGCTTTAGCAAGTAAGGTCTCCCTTCATAGAGCCACAACATACCTTTCTCCTGTCTAGACAGGGCACACTAATTTTTTAAAAGGAGCTTTTCTTCTGTCTTAATCTCTGCTAACAGGTAGCTCTGTGCCCCAAAGCACTGTGAACCTGAAGTCTGACTGATCTCAAGGTTCTGCTGCAGGGTTTTATACCGGATATCGCAAGGACAGGAATTGGGAGACTCAGATTTTGGGACTGTTAATAGCCCCAGTTAGCACAGGACGCAGTCAGGGACGAGACAGATTGCAGTTTTGTTGTATCTGTTCTGGCTGTTGCGCTACACACCATGCAGCAATTCTTCACAGCTGTATGGAAATCAAGAAATTATTCTGGGAAAGCGCAGAGTTGACAACATTTGTCTTTAAAAAGGGGGTTGTTATTAGCCCCTGGAAAAACATTGTTCTAGCAACATTTTAACTGGGGTTCCACAAATTAAAATGTGCAACATAAAGGTTACTGTGTAACATAATCTATAGCAACAGAAAACACCAACTCCTATGTGTTCTGAAGCCTAAATTGTATTTTTTTCATCTAAACTACAATGATTTAATAACTTTTACTTGAAGTCAAACATGCTGATGGATCTTAATACTGTGACTGTATGAAACCCGCCTCACTCTAAATAAAATACTCTTTTTTTTAACTACAAGATGTGTAGTTTCTATTTTCAACTCATACTTTTCATGTAGGAAAAAAGATTTGTGTGCTTAGAAATCAGAGTGCACCAATATTTATTTGTTTTATTTCATTTATTTTACTTATACCCCGCCTATCTGGTCATTGCGACCACTATGCAGCTATGATTGCATTGGTATATTTACAGTTTAGTTTTCTCAAGAGAATTCCTGCAGGGAAGAGCATACAGCTCAATCCCATATACACATCAACAGCAAAAAGGAGATTGCTTCACCCAGGACGACAAATCCAGTCTCCATTCGTGATCAACTCCTCTCTTGTGCAGCCATCCTCCAGGTGAACTGCAAAGCACCCCTACCATGCAGTTTATAGGAAACCCAAAGGAAAAGGGGATTCTTGTGTCACAGAGACAGGAGACTAAGCCATCCCCCTCAACAAGCAAGACTTTAAAGTGTCTCCAGGAAAAACATGGCGGGGCTCACACAGAATGCTCTCTGGTCAGCTGACCACAAGTCATGTCAAGTTTATCACCAAGATTAGCTGAGATGGCTCTCGGTTGGGGGAAGGCTGGCATAGAGCCATGGCAGACACCCAACCTCTGCATCTGATCTCAACCTAAAGAAATCTGCACTGCCAACTCCAACTACCATATTATTCCAGAACAGCTGCTCAGACAAGCCCAGAAATAAAAGACCTGTCTCTAAAAGACTGCAGAGCTAGCTTTCTGCATCTAGGCTGGCTTCTCCACAGCTACAGCACTTCATATCCTGTGGCAAGTTTCTATCAAGAGGGTATCACAATACAGCAAGGAAAACTGCTCTACAAGGAGAGGGATTCAATGGAAGAGGGGCAAAAACAGCTCATTAGAGGCAGGGCGGTGATGCCTAAAGCAACTCTTTGTACTGGAAGCAACAGAGAATTTTTTCCCTATTGGTTTGTGTCTATACGTCAATATGTGGTCAAATGTTTGTTGTCACATTATCAAAAAACATGGGCCACCAATACTACAAAGTATATTTGTGCTTTCAAGAGAGCAGGGAAGATGTTGTGTTTTCAAATAAGACTAGCAACATGGAGCAGCCCACTTGGGATAAATAAAAACAGCTGATCCCCCCCCTGCAAATCTGGCTGGGCTTTTCAGACAGCTCACACATCAACCCAGAGCTATCTCCCCACTGACACTGACACCAACAAGCCACCTTTTCATCCCTCAGAAGAACATCCAAGAACAAGCTGCCAGAGGGTTCAGCCTGATGCTTTCTGGATCAGCCAGAAAACACTGAGAGATTCAGGCACATGCTGACACCCATACTATGCCTAGAAATTCAGACATGCGAGTTTTGACTGTGAAGATCTATAAATTATATTTGTACTTCAGGAGGAAAAGCAGCCTGAGAATCTAGAGCAGCCTTCCACAAACTGGTGCGTGCCATGCACATTTGCATGACAGGAAAAGGCTGGTTTAGACTCCAGCTGAGCAGATTTTGCAATCCATATAACCTATAGTTCCCCCACAGAGTAAGAATGTCTGTGTGCGTTCCTCCTGCAACAACTGAAGCAATCTGAATACATCTCAGTACACAGTACCAAAACTGCATGATTATAACCAAATGCCAAAATCCCACAAGCTTCCTTTCTGAATAGATGTTTTCCCCCCTTCCCCCCCCCTTGCCATACTACACTACATGCACTGCTTCTAATCGTCTCCCCGGGCAAAAACTGTGGAATGGAGAGCTGCTAAATCAACAGAGATTGTGGAGAAAATGGCCCGCTTCATATTAGCTGAGACAGAAATACCTAGGCAGGTTAATGTAATCTGTATAAAGCTAAACTTTAGGCTCAGTTACAAGTCATTCAGCAGAATCACTCCCACCTAACTGAACGACAAACTTAGATCATTAAGATGTGAAAAATGTAGAATGTTGTTAGATACAACCCAGAGACAGAGTCTCATCTTTCAGACCCTAGTGCTGTTGAAATTTCCTATCCTCTACACACCAAAGATAACACCATGGCCTTGCAAAGATTGTTCAACTACTACTCCCTTAAGCCCCAGCTAGCACAGCCCAGAGAAAAGGATGATGGGAGTTGCAAGTCCAAAAGTAGGTGGAAGTAGGTACCCATTCCTGCTATAGACTAACAATGAATTCATTCTCTGTGTGTCTTTTTAAAACAGCAAAAATGGCATCTATCAGAGGACTTGTGAGTCAATAAAGTTAGCAGAAACACAGCTTATTTGGGGGGAGGGGAATCTAAAGTAGAAATAAAGTCAAGCACACCCCAATAAGAAATCTGTGCTCATTAGCTAAAGAATCCTGCAGGGAAAACAAAATGGGGATGGGAAAAGAAGAACACATCACTGCCCATACCTGGGTAGCTGGTACCCTAAACAGGAGTACTTCACACTGCAAAACTTTGCTATAGCTTCTACCCATTTTCAACTATTCCCCAAACACAATCACCTGAAAATTCCCATCCTAAAACCACAGAAAAGCATGAAGCCATCTCCTTTCCCATCCTGCAAGCCTGACATCTCTCACATCAGAGTTTGTGCTCATACAGCAATGAGCAAATAACCTTAAATGATCTTTGGCTTGCACCCTTTATCCAGGAAGTAGCATACTAAGCACAAAGTGACTCATGGGGAACCAGCAGTCACACCCTGAACTGAAAAACAGGTCACTGCTTCATAGACAGTAGACCTAATGGGGCTTCCTATGTCAAGGTCACCTGGCTCCTCCTACCACTGCCCAGGGCACCACATATTGGCTGAAATCCTGTTAGCAGAAATGTATGCCATATAAGCCAGGTGGCATAATCACCTAGGGATCCCTTTTGTCCTCAGGAAGCCTTGAAAGGATGAGCTTTTACATCAGGAAACAGACATCACTGCTCCTCCCACTGGATCACGATTCCTAGCCACGCTCTGGTAGCAATTTTGCAATATTAAAAGGTCTTCGGCCCCTGTCCCAAGGCTCCCCGACTCCTATTTAGGGCGCCGGCTACCCAGGTATGGGCAGTGATGTGTTGACTCCTGTTTAGGGCGCCGGCTACTCAGGTATGGGCAGTGATGTGTTCTTTTCCCATCCTCATTTTGTTTTCCTTGCAGGATTCTTTAGCTAATGAGCACAGATTTCTTATTGGGGTGTGCTTGGGTTTATTTCTACTTTAGATCCTTAGGGAGGCCTTGGAATATGAAGTGGGAGTATAAGAGACTTTAAACTAAATTAAACATTTCCAGTGCTAGATTACAACATCTGGCTTACACAACATAAATTTACTCCTGCAGGATTTCGGCCATTGTGTTGTTAGCCTAGAGAGACAAGTTTAAAAGCCACGTCCTTTCATCCGCACAGATTCCTGGGCAATTCTAAATTCAATACCAGTGGTTCAGATTCTCCTTGTAGTCTTTACCAATTGGGTCAAAACCTAATCATAACATTAAGAAACCAGACAAACCGGAAAACCTGAGGCCAAAAGAGCACAGTGTCGTGCTGTCATCCCACTGGCATGCCTCTGCTGTTCAGTACTGGCTACCGTGTGGCAAAAAGCTTTCCAGAGCCTCAGGTCCAAAGACTTCCTTCCCAAGAGATATAAAAGCGGTGCCTGACAGCTGAATTAAAAGCAGCACAGAAAGCACAATCACTCTGAGAAGAACATGTCCTGGCATTTGGGAGGGGGAGGGTTTCCCAAGTGATCCATGTTTACTGATGGCCATTTCTTCCAACCCTTACCTATTTTGGTGCTGGGCTAGGGCAGCCTGCCATTACAGCCACAATGGCAGGGTTCCAATCCTGTAACCCCCTAAGTAGAAGACCAGAAAGCAAATACTGTATATATAAATGAGGCTCCACAACAGAGGCACCACCCTAACCCTAACTTTAAGCGCACAAATCAAAAGGGGAATAATATCCAACAGCAATTCAGAATATTCTGTTTTCAACTGCATTCTTAATTAGTCCAAGGAATTAGGCTTTGGAAGCAAAAACGCATGTTGTGAAAGAATAAAACAGATTTATACTCACCACCACACAAACATAAAGCTTCTTGTCTATTGTATCTCCCTTTAATGGAATGTGGGTATAAACACTAACTGCAGCAATCTCTTCTAGTGTATGCTACCCAGATTAGACAAGATGTTTAACGTCCTGTAATACCTACCACTCTGCTCCTAAGGGTCAAAATAAGAGAAGACTCCTATCTTTAACTGTTGCTACAGCTGCTTTGAACAAAATCTCGCACCACTGTGTTTCTCTGAGCCTGGACATGTTAGGAGGAGGCTCCACTTTAGGCCTATCCAAAAAAACAACAACCCCGGTTTAAAGAACTGTTGAACAACAACAACACCCCATGTATCTTTGGTACACTAAGCAGGTTGTTGCTTATGACAGCAGTTGCTACACACCTGCCGTTCCTGGTGTATGCTTAGCTGTGATCTCCATCACCCACCAAGTACACCCAATAGCCAGACTGGCTAGGGCTGGTGTGAGTTGTTACTTCAGCACATTTCAATGCCTTAAAGTATTGTAGGAAAGCTGCCCTACAATACCAGTGAACTTAAGTAGGTACCGACCTCATCAGCATCTGAATGGAAAACCCCTGGGAAATCCAAGCACACTACTGTGGTATTTTTAGAGAAGCACAAACTTGTTCAAATAATTTGACAATGTCTAGTGCTGAATGCAAACATCTAAATACAAAACCTGTCCTTCACATCTAACCTCACCAAGTTGTCACTGGTAATTTACCAAAAATTAAAAATTAAAAAAAATCATAACCTTTCTATATAACCGAGGGAGGGACAGGACACAAACAGCTTTTCTCCTCTATGTTTCTAAAATGCAAAAGGCTTTAAATAACTTTTAACTTTCAATTACACCATACTTCACACCTAAGCTGAGCATATCTGCTACTCTGGGGTCTTTGCCTAGCAAGCCATTCAAGCAAGCAAGGGGGAAAAACCTTTTGTACTTCAAACGAAGAAAGGCATCTGCGAGAGAAGGGATTTTCTCTTTAAGCCTGAAACCAAAGATTCCAAAACATGCTGGCACAGAGCGTCTATTTCTTGATCACCAAAAGCACTTTCACTGTTCGAATACAAATTCATTTGACTGACTGCCAGCTCGAGATTCCAGATTCATGCAAGCTTAGCCATGAAGAATCATGCACTAGATTATCAAAGAGCATGAGCAAGAACTTCACTGCATGCCACACAACAGTGACAAATGAAACACACAACAGTAATCAGACAAAACGCTGGCCCCCAAATTACACTCTTGACTGTTCATGAAAATCACATTATCCTCATGGGAGAGCCTTGAGAAAGACCAAGGAGGAGGGCTTAGGGAGCTGTAAGCCTTATTCCTCACACAGAGAAAAAGCCCAGCCCCTTTCTACATAGACCTCTGTACCAGAAAGGCACACCAGTTTCGAGCCGTAACAACCTTTAGGTACCAATGCAGAGGAAGACATGTCAGGAAGTGTACGGCTGTGTTGAACTACATTCAGAGGTAAACTGCTTCACATGACTGTTCGGCCAGACACCACACACATGTTAAAAATGCCAAGACCATGAAGTTAGTAGCCAGAACACCTTGTTGCTATTGATGGAGTTACGAGGGTGGAGGCATGCACGTCGGACACCTGCTCCTAAAAGATACACGGAAAGAGGAAGGACCATTACCATGGAGGGCTATGGCTTCTCGGAAGGGCTGCAAGTCCGTCTCTACAGAGGAGCTGGCTTCTGTGGAAGCAGCTCGGTTGGGAGATACTACAGTCAATCTTGGGGGAGCTCTAGAGTTTCGTGGAGGTGGCGCTTTCCCACACAGGAAGCTGATTAAGTCTTCTCGGCGAATTGTTCTTCTGCGTTTTTTAACCCAAGCCAGCACGTCCTTGTTCCGACGCTGATAGCCAATATGGATTCCTACATCAAAACTCCGCTGATGGGCATCAACACTTTCTAGAAGGAAGAGGAGAAGAGGAGACAGCAGGATTAGGCAGCAGTAATCATAGGCATCAGCCACACATGTATAAAGCAGCTTCTAGAGGGAAAGGCTGATCTCACTGGCACTTGGGAATATACCTCTCTCACACCTGCTGGGGAGTTCAGGCAAAATCAACCAACTACAGACCAATCAGTCTACTCTCTGTGCTGGGTAAATTGTACTCCAATCATTTAAATCAAAGACTACTTACTTGGATAGAGGAGGGAAATATCTTGGGGAAGGAACGGTACATAATCCAAGCAGCCCAGAACATGCAGAAAGCTATCTTGCATGTTTTCTTTACTTGGGGGGGGGGGCAATTTATACCAGCTGCTATCCAAGTTTTTAAGCTCAAGATTCTGCCCCAACTGTTATATGGTACACCAACTTGGATTCTAGGATTTCACACAAGTATACTGTATTGGTAATCTATTTAATTAATTTATGCTGTTTTAGCTATCTTGAAATGTTTTAATTGCTTATATCTATTTTAAATATTACATATATGTATCCTATTGGGTCGGAGACCACAAATAAACATTGACTGACTGACTTATTTTTGCAGTCATTCTACAAGCCACATCACTCACTTTACAGCTAATAAGGACACCATATATCTCTGCTCAGCCTGACACAACCATGTACATTCTTTTTTAACTTCCACAACTGTTAGAAGCCAGAACATCTCATTGTTTTATTAACAGAGTTACTGAGAAAAAATGGCACATCATATGACTTGCCTAGATCAATGTAGGGAATTCAACAGTTCATGCTCCCTGCCACCAGTGAAACAATATCCACGTTCTTTCATGTGGCTCATCACTGGCTCAGTTTACTGCTGGACGCCATGTCTGAACAAGCTACTCCAAGTCCATGTTTGGGTACCACTTGTGCTAAAGCATGTTTTTCAACTCAGTTCATGCATTCCACTGAGAGTTCAATAGCCACGAGAACTAACTTGCAAAGGCCTGGCAGTTAAGGTTCCTGAACACTGTATGTTGCCGAGTATGGAGTTGCATGCCATAGTGTCTCAGTACTGCAAACTGAGTAAAACCAGTAAGCAATAGGGTTTATGCAATGAATAAAAACAGCTATAAATGACAGAGAAATTTTGGCTCTTGGTTCCATGCAGGTTTCCCCAATGTGATTTTTTACATTTGTTCCCATCTTCCAGTTCAAACCTAGATAAAAGCAACAATGGGAAGTTTATCCAAGGAAATTGGTGTGGTGAACATCCTGGGTTTTCTTAAGCACTTAAAAGATTATATAAGCTGATAGCCATGGAATGTCCTGGCCCAGCAATACAACATTTTGCTGACCATATCAAAAACATTTCACATAAAACAAGCGATACACAAAATGCTTATGTTTTCACGTGGGGCTTTAAAATAGGTGCTCAGTTTTCCTACAATAAAACCACATATGCCACACCTTCAGTTGCAAATAGACTTTGCACAGATCAGCCAGAAACAGCTATCCAGCAAGCGCAGGATAAATCAATAGGCTACCAAGATGCATGCATATGGTGTGGCCATGTACCAGCAGCCCTGTACTTAGCCATACTCATTCTTGTTGTTTAGTCGTGTCCAACTCTTTGTGACCCCATGGATCATAAATACTAATTCTATTACAGTACTCGCCAAATAAAATATAAGAGAGAACAGTACAAGGAGGCAATGCATCTTTCACAACTCCCCTGTGATCACTGGGGGTGGGGAAGGCAGCCAAGTGTTTCCACAGTTTGACAGCCTGCAGCTCTCTCTTTTTCCCCTACAGTCACAGCAGGAACTCTCTTACTGAGGTAGACCTGAGCGCAGCAACAAAGTGACTTGCGACAGGGGCAGCATGAAATCAGCAGTGCCTTATCACTACAGAAGTTCCCCAAAGTGTCAGGGTTTTTTCAAGCTCAAGGGGAGTCTTGCGTGAAGTGACTGCTCCAACTTTCAGCAGCAATTCACAGAATTACTGTAAATTGCAGTATTTCCCACCTAAAATGACACATCTTTAAGAGTGGGGCAAGAGGTTAAGTACTTCTCATCTGCTACCAGCACACACTGGTTTCCAAATACTACAACTAGTGTGCTCTTTTGAAAAATACATAAATACATTTTGCAGCATTTCTATTTTCAATTATCACACAGAAAGCTTCCGGTAACGAGCTCAGCAGCGAGGAAGCCCTCAAATTTACCATTTCTTTGTGGTCCTACTCAAGTAGCAATAGACAAGAAACAGCCAAGGTTAAGTCCTGGCTCTAGAAAAGCCATGCAAGCAGTAAGGAACGATCAGAGAAAGAGGAGGCAGACGATAAACAAGCTAGTAAACAGATGCAAATACCGGTTACTCAGATGAGGAAGGCGTGAATATTGTTATTTGCCCCAAATAAGCACAGCAATACATCTTGGACACTGAGACTTTTGTCTGCATGCTAGTTTTAAATGCATTATTGGAAACTCTTTTTATACAATGACCAGTGAGGTGACTGTGAGCCACACATTGTGCCTGTTTCTCCACTGGGGAGATAAGAACTTTTTTTTTACTGTGCCATCTATAGGTCATTTGACAAAGAAAACATATGGCATAACCCCACCTGAAGTATTTCTCACCCTAAAACAGAGGGAAACAGGAAAAAAAGGTGAAATGGAGGCATGGAAAGCAGAGGAATAATATGTTATTACTTCAATCAGAGATGATATGGTTTAACTACAGTAAGACACAAGGACTAGGGAAACAATCTGTACAATCTGAAAAAAGGCTCGTGGTAAGAACACCTGTAGCTGTGCAGAGGCAAACTATGAAGCACCTCCAGACAGGAAAGCCAGCAAGGGGGAAGAGTACCAGCCTTTGAAGATCAGGAGGGCCTCTGAACAGCAGAGTGCGGTACAAGCAGGCAAGCAAAGGCCATTGCAAAGGATGCACTGGGGTAGGCACGCAAGGAAAGGAGGAGAAGAATCTGAACTTCAAGGGTGTGGTCCAGAAAGTCTTCACCGGTACAACCCAAAAATACTGTACACAGAATCCAGGAACACACAAGAAGTCACTGATGAGACTGACAGAACAGAGTCACGTGATGAGGAGAGGTGCATGACTCTTTCAGCGGAGGGCTGCACAGGGCAGGAAGAAAAGATAGGATAAAACGACCAGAGAGGAGGAGAATACAACCGTCAAGGTGAAAGATCACCAGACACAAACTTAAGACTTCTGCTAAAAAGACAGCTGCTGTGTTTTCAATAGTTAAAGGAAGTGTAATTGCCAACATGTCCGTTATCTGTGCAGGATAGATATCATCACACCAAGCTGCTTTTCAGCAGTAACAGCAGCTTTTAGGGAAGCAGCAAGGCATAACTTGCCCAATTACCTGACTCAATTACTTTGCTCGGGTCACACTTCCTGTGACTGCTCACTGACAAGTGTCGGCACTTGTGTGTGCCACCCACATGTCAATTGCATCTGTAGGATGTAAGACAAGACAAGCTTTCAGAGCAGACATACTTAAGGGTTGTGTGACACCACCCTGCACATAAGGAAGATGGTGCTTTACACCAACCAAGTAGTCACCTATCATTACAAGCTGAAGACGAAGTCCATTATGAGATTTTAACACATGACCAGCAGGCTTTATCCTACCAATAAGGCACAAAGACTTTTCTGTGGTTGGACATACACTCAACAACAAGCAAAACAGACAGATTGACACTTATTTTGACCAACCTTGGCCTAAGTATCAGATATTCTCCTCTCACTTGTCGACTTGGTACCATATATTAGCAAATGGAAACTAGGCTCCAGAATTCCATCACTATGGCCAGTCACCCTTATCCACCAGTTTTCTTACTGAGTTCCTCCATATCCGTGCATGTCACTCTTTTCCTGGAATTCATAAGTTACAACAGGAACTCTTGACATCACTGAGCAACTACTGTGTATGTCATCAGACTAACATCTCCTGTAGGTTACACACACCTTGCACTTCCGAATAATGCCATAATCATGCTACACAAGATTATATCTCATGAGGGAAGACCATTTCTTTTAATATGAGTCACTAGGTCTTCCTGCTACTGAGCAGCCACAACTCACTAAAGGAATCAAGACATGCTCTAAGAAATAAGTCACACCAAGAAAGCAAGTTGTTTTAACTTGGAAGGCTTCAGAAAGTCGTTTAAAGAATATGATTCAGTTCACACACTGTAAGCAATATATACTGGTTGATAGTTTTTATATAAATGTGGTTGCATAATGATTTATTAAATACAGCTGCCCTGTGTGCAGGTTTATCGGATACCTGTGGAGCTAATCTATGCTCATGGCAGTGAGACCCCGATCAAGAGACTGACCGAATAAAACAATTAAAACAGAGGTTCTTATTCAAGAATACTGCATTCTCTCAGGATAAAACAGCTTCACCGCCTTGACTCTGAGAGTATTCAAGAAGCCTCCATGGTATTGTGCACAAGGCAAATACATACAGATGCAGGAAATGACACAAAGCAATGAACTTTCCCATCCTACAGCAGAAACCAGGTGGTTGTGTCTATCATGCAGTAATATAGTTTATTATTGGGAGACACATCACAGTTAAAGAGGGCTGAAATGATGTGGCTGTCTTAAGGCCTCTTAGGAAGGTAACCACGAGACAAGATATCTGATAAAAGAGTTTGTAGCCAACCGTCTACCTCTTACTCAAGAATGCACGAGATGAGCCAGAGAATCCTACCTACTGGTCCACAACTTTACAACAATCAATAGCACTGTATTAATCAATAGCACCTACTGGCCCAAGTGACCATCTATGTGCTCCCCCTCACTTTCCCTGTGGCATGATAGGCCATGGAATGCGACTTACAAGACCAGAACAGCACCATGAGCCCTGGGATTTTGATGATGATCAGTTTCCTCTTTACAAGCCAATTCCACATTTCCAGTCAGAAGTACAGACAAGAGCTGCTTTCAGCCACTCATTTCTTGTGCACGACAGCATTCTTTTATTAAGTGACAAGCAAGCAAAATGGCTGCTCCAATAATGAGGAAAACAACCCTGACTAACATTATTGGCTAAGCTGGCAAATACCTCCCTGCATGAGTAACTGTACACTGTTTTCAGCCTTGCATTCCATACCAACCACTAGACACTGGAACCATTTAGCTACACCTAGCAGTGCTGTATCCTAAGTTACTTGAATGATCATACAAAATGTCACTTCCAGGATGGGTAAAAATCAATTAGTTTTTAAAAAATGAAATTGATTAAAATTACTTTTTTTTTTCATTTAACTCATGATTTAAATAACTTTGGTCATCTCCTTGCAAGGAGTAGTCTACTGTACACTCAAACTGAATCATCATCTGCCAAATGACCAGTTACGAAGTGAGTATTTTTAACCTCTAAATATTCAAAGGAAGCCAGTAACATTCACATCTAACCTAACCAGGAAGGGAAAGCCAGCACAGACATTTTAGATGGAATAAGCTAGGCATGAGCATAAAGAGGTTTAGGTCTCTTAACCACCTTGCTGAGGGTCCTTGTTCTGATGACTTAAGAATTCCACACCATTAACGAAATGATAATGGGACAAGATCTCTTTCTTGTAAACAGAAATCAGTTATCATTTCCCTGACCATTCTCTTCAAGTATACCGTGAAGCAAAAACAAATAGATTCCTTACAGTCTAGACAACCTAGAACATTAAATCTATTGACAGGTTCCATTAAGACTTATTTATTCAGGCCTTTCCCCTATGCTGTGTCTCTCCTACTGTTAGGAATAATGAGATGCTTCTTCACTTACAACCAGGATACCAACTGGTTTTTAGCTCAAAAGGCCTCAGTTAGATCAACTATTCAGAATAATTCAGAGGTCAATACAGGCAGCGATGTTATTCCCTACAGATCAGTTCCACTTAATCATCAGCCATGGCACAGCCAAGCTTCAAGACTAAAGGCCTTTTCTCTCTCTAGGAAACTAAAGGAACCCCACACCTTTAAGAATCAAGGGCATTACACCAGGATGGACCCTGTTTTAGTGCTCATTACTCCACATTTGAGGCACCTTAGAATACCTTGGTTCTCACCCTAAAAGCTGCACATGTGCCTGTTTCTGGACTACTTTCTTAAAGACTCTGGAAACTCCATTCCCAAGGACACAAACCAATTTTCCCCTGGATCCTGGAAAAATAGAGTCTGACAACAATGAAGCAAAAAACAAGTTATTTGTACCTACCAGTAACATATCATTTCAACTGACTGAAGCCTCAGCTCAACTACTCAGGAATTAATATGAAGTACACAGTTAAAAATAAGCACTACCTGATTCAACCCCAAAATAAAACAGAAGACCAAAATGTAAAAATAACCATGAAACGGATACAAGCGTATGGACCTACAAATCTATTCAACAGGGCATTTGAGGGATCAAGGCAAAAAGACATGGAAGGGAGAGAACTCTTAAGTCCAGACACACACACCTGCTGGTCTTCCAGATGTGTCAGGATCACTGAGACACAGGGGGGATACTGTAGGCCAACATACCTGGAGGGGACCAGGTTAGGCAGGCATATTCTATCCTGTATATTAAGTGAAGCTACTGTCTCAGAGCAAGTTACATTGTCTGGAATGGGGCACATCGGCCACCCCATCAAAAAAGCATGAGTCAGGCTGAAACCTAAGGCAGAGACTGAAAACAACAACAGGCACTTCCATTGATTCAATCCTATCTCAAGAACTTTGGGGGCTGAACATATCAAACTCTGAGGCAGCCCCTTTTTCACTTCTGAAACTTGCACGTTAGCACTCTCCAGAGGTCTGGGCAAAGAGTAACCAATATTTGAGGACCCTTCAAGGTTCAGGATATGATCCCTGAATCAAAGAAGACATATTTTGTCTGATTAATGATTTACACTCATATATATTGTGCGATCCCAAGAAAAGCTAAATATTTCTGCAGGAGTCATTCAGATGTATGTTCTGAACTGTTCACATACTTGTGGTAAATACACAGCCCTACTGCTACAACAGCCTCTGCACCAAACCATATGTACAAATCCATATCCTGTTTCTATTAAACAATATGATATCACCGCCCCTTTCTGTATTTAACATAACACATGACCAGGCTGTCCAGGAAAACCCACAAATTCTGTCAAAGAAATAAACTGTACAACTAACCGAATTCTGAAAATAACAAACCACTCTGAAATCCACACTTTTGAGGAGAACACAAGCAGCAAAGGACACATACAGTTTAGTCAATTGTGCAGGCAACCACTGAAACAACATCACTAGAACAGCAAAAATGTCTACCCCCAGTACCCAGACTGACAAACACACACTGAAGACCACAATGCACCCATCAGTTGCAGGTTCACACAAACAGAGAGCTTGCAGGGGGGATAAAGAAATATGACAGTCAAGCTCCCTCCAAGCCTAAAAATTCTCATGAACTCAAAGCAGTTGTAAATGAATGGGTGGCCTAATTTCTGAGTTTAATTTCCCCTGCCGTCCTACCCATCGCTCCCACCCTCCACGCCCCCCCCCACATGCATTTTATTTCCCAACCAACCAAATTGCTCTCACCTTTGTAGAGATTGGTGACCGCCGTGGCAGCATTCTGGAAGGGAACCCAAAGTGAAAGGCCCGGCTGCTGACACACGCGATCTGTGCAAAGGGGGGGGGGGAGCAGCAGGAGGCAAGTGGAAGGAGACAAAGACCAAAAGAGAAAAAAAGACAAAAAAAATGAAATGAAAAGCTAAACACCAGCTCCTCTTTCTCTTAGGCTTCTTCTTGCTGTCATCTTACTATTCAGAGAAGCCTCGGCCATGTTGGGCTTCGCCATTTTGTTCAGCTACTGCCTCCGCCGCCGGGACGGAAGAGGGGTGGGAGGAAATGGGAGCCTGGCTGAACGCAGGGAGAGAAAAGGCGGAAAAAGCAGGTTGGGAAGCAAATCTGCTAAACACCAGCTCCTCTTTCTCTTAGGCTTCTTCTTGCTGTCATCTTACTATTCAGAGAAGCCTCGGCCATGTTGGGCTTCGCCATTTTGTTCAGCTACTGCCTCCGCCGCCGGGACGGAAGAGGGGTGGGAGGAAATGGGAGCCTGGCTGAACGCAGGGAGAGAAAAGGCGGAAAAAGCAGGTTGGGAAGCAAATCTAATCT